TAATAAATTCAAAAAATTTAGGAAAGTACAAAGGATAGTATAGCAAACAGCCACGTTTCCATCTGTTTTACTTTTATAATCAGGGAGAGGAAGGAAGAATATAAAATACAAAACACAGAGACAGGTTTTTGTCACACACTCACGAGTGAGATTGGGCTAGGCGACAAGGGCAGGACTGTGTGTTTCTCGGGGCCTCGTGGCTAACAGGCGTTTCCCCCTGTTGTGATTGCAGATCACTATGATCCTGACTATGAATTCCTCCAGCAAGACCTCTCGAACGCAGACCAGATACCTCAGCAAATGGCCTGTAACCTTAGCCCGCTGCCAGAGTCCTTGGGGGAGTCTGGGTCTCCATTTCTTGGCCATCCTTTCCAGCTGCCTCTTGGCAGCTGTCCCCAGCCAGAAGGGCCCTTGGCCCCAGGGCAGCAGACAGACACGCCACCCGCCCTTCCCGAGAAGAAGCGCAGAAGTGCGGCCTCCCAGACCACGGACAGCTCTGGCTGCAGGGTATCCTACGAGCGGCACCCCTCGCAGTACGACAACATCTCCGAGGATGACCTGCAGAACCCAGCCCCGATCCAGTCCGTCCCCTACACGCCCTTTGCTGCTGTTCTCCCTTTTCAGCAAGGAGGTTCCTCAGCGCCTATTGAATTTGTGGGTGATTTCACTGCTCCTGAAGCAACGGGGGACCCAGAAAAACCACCTCCTCTACCAGAGAAGAAAAACAAACACAGTAAGCTTTTATTGAGCTGTGTCAGGAAGTGTATTTTATAACCTAAAATGGTGACATGTTTTATTTAAGCATTAGACTAAAGTCAAACCAGTGGCCTCTTTTATTTCATAAAAGATAGGACCATGGGTACATGGACACTTCTGGCAGCCTGGCTTTGTCATTCCTGGTGATTGTTTTTAAAGCCCAATCGGCTGACCTTTCCTTTATGGTCTCTATAAAATCTCTGGCCCAAGTGCTTCTCTTTAGATGGCAGTCAGCTGGCCTGGCCTGAGCACACAGGGACAGAGGGGAGGAGTGAGTGTCCTGGTATCCAGGACAGCATCGCAGCAACATCTGTGGAAAGCAAGGTGGGCATTTGATTTTAAGCAGAACTTGCCTAGTGCCCACAGAGTGCTTTCCAGGGACCCCTGAGCAGAGGGTGCGCTGTCCTCTGTTGCAGAGGACAGACACAGAGTGACTTGGAGCAGAGTTTGCCTGGCAGGAGTGACTGAGGACCTCTTGGACCAGACGTTTTAATATATGATGTTATTAGGACCAGAGGTGGAGCTGGAATTTTGAATATTTGTTTATATTTTGAGCATTTTCCAACTGTAAATTTGCCATAAAATTATTAAGTAGAGTTCCACCGGAATTTCTGTTTTCCCCTGGCTCCCCTGACTGCCCCACATTGTCGAGAGTTGCCTGGTCCTGTCGGCCCCCACCCTCTCCCCACTTTGCTAACACAGCTCTGCTTTGATTTTCTTTGGCAGACCAGCTGTCACCACTCTGACGTGTGAGGCCTCATCAGCCCCACAGCCCCAGGGTTCCCTGGCCTCAGTTGAAGCATCCAACAGAGAACTTCTACAAACTAGAAATGGAATCTCTATTCTAGATTCCCAAATGAGAGCATCTGAATGGTTCAGCTTAGAGCTGGATCCTGTTCTTAAAGAAGGGAGCCCTGGCTCAGTTAAACCCAGCAAGGACTGTCCTGAGGGCCAGCCAGGCAGTCTGTGGCAGGAGGAGGCTGCTGATGGTGTAACACATTCCCAGCTCCTCACTGGGTGTTACCCAGCTTGCATAATGGCCTCAGTGGTGTGGTCCCCCCGCCAGAGGGAGAGCTGGCTCTGTGGGGCCAATGATGTCATCCCCATCTGTTGTGTAAATTTGCTCATTAGAAACCAGGGCACTTGGGGAAGGGGATGCAATGGCAGTGCAAGGACTGCTTCCCTCTCTGCCTCCTCCCTGCACGGGCAAGTGCTTAAAGCGCTGTCGGCCTCCCCCTCCACCCGCCCTGCCAGGAGCAGTGTGCCACGTGGGCTTCACCCTCTTTTCTTCCCTAGGCGTCCTCCGAGCTCAGACGTGGGGACAGGATGGCATCCTTGCAAACCGCAGCCGGTGCCAGGAAGCCTTACCCTTCCAGCTCCTAGAACAAGTGTGGGCAGCCGTCCTCATGCAGGGTCTGCGGAGAAGAGGAGGAAAGGGAGGGGTAGCCATTGTTTCCTTTCAGACAGTCATGTGTGGCTGAAAATGTCTTTCTGTTCGTTGGGGCCAGCATTTTGAGACTTTAGCCCACTCGTCAATGTCTGCAGCACTCATGCCTGCAAACCTTTAAAAACTCCCGAGAGCTGCAGGCATGGCATGCTCTCAGCTGAAGCTGCACACGCCCTGTCACAGGTAGTCCTTGCAGCCACCTGCAGAGTGGGCATTATTAGCTCACATTTTATAGATAAAGAAACGGGAGCTCAGACGAACTCAGCACTTGCCCAAGATCGACAAGCAAGTGGGTGGCAGATCTGGGGTTCAGAGCCAGGCCTGTGTTGTGGCAGCATGTCGCACTTCCTCCAGGCTGAGGAGGAAGTCCGGCCCTCTTTCCTTGAGCTCCCGTGAGTTTTCAGTAGTGACCCCCATGCAGGGGATATTCTCTCTGTACCCTGTGAGAGAGCCCCAAACTTGGGGTATCCTGAGGCTCTGTCCTAGCCCTGAGTCTGCTCTTCAGTCCTTGAGGGAACTCTCAGAGCCTTCTATTCTGCGACCCTGTGGAAAATGCCTCAAAAGATTGCCTTGAGGGCATGAAGGAAGTGCTCATTATCCCCTGTGCGTGACCCATGCTGGACCGAGTTCAGACATGCTCAGTGCCGACGTCATAGCGTGTCCTCCTCACGTTGGTCCCGGCTCCTCATGCCAAGGACAGCCCTGTGAGTCCCTTGTGCCAGATGAGCTTCCTGGTCACTGCCTGTTACCTGAAGTCCACACAGGCCCAGTGCCCACTGTAGTGCCAGCCACCAGCTCTGCTGGCCTCTGAGCCACTGCTGGGCTGCCTTTGAGATGGGCTGCGTCCTCCTCGTTTCTAGATCTGAAACCCAGCACCGCGCGCTCTCTGTGCAGCATCAGTAGTTCGTGGAGCCCTCCTGAAAAGAGCACAGTTCTACCGAAGAGGCGCAGAGGTGGTCGTGTTTAGCCTTTTCAGGGAGCAGTCGGTGGGCGTTCAGGATCACCTTCCCAGGCCGGAGTCTCCCTCTGGAACTGGTGTCCTGGGTTGTGCGGTGTTAAAGGGGACGCACTGTGGGGCAAGCTCAGGGGCTGGGGAGCTGCACTTTTCTTTTAGCAGCAGCGGCAGCTTAGAGGGGAAGCTGTCCTTTCCTGTCACCCTTTTACAGCCAACTTCTGCTGGGCACTTGTTGGAGCTAATAAATTCTTACTTATTCTTTTAAATAAAGAAGGTGACTTTGAACCCTTTCCTTCAGTGAAGGGCACCAGAAAGACACACCTGGAGAGAGAGCATGTCCTACATACCTAGACCCCAAATGCAGTGCAGGGGAGAAACGAACCCTCTGTGACCATCTTCCTCAGCTCAGTGTCTCTGCTCTTCCTTAATTTTCTGACTAGTTTAAGTTTCCAATGAAGCCCCCAACTTTGTAGTTATTTGAAAGTACAAAATTCAGTACTGCAGAGCTGTCCCTGCCACTATTTCTTGGATCTGAATCTCAGCTCCACCTAGCAGGAGTTCATGGCACTTGTGATGTGACCCAAGGGGAACCTGGCAGCTCAGTAGGTGACTAAGACCAGCTGTCCCTGTGGCCGTCCTGGCGCCCACCGCACACTAACTTACGTCCTCTGCTTCCAAACCCAGGGCCCCATTACTTCCCAGTTCTTGTCAAAGTCCAGAGTTTGCATCAGGGTTCCCCCTTCGCGTTGTACACTCTATGGGTTTGGACAAATGTATAATGACATGTATCCACCATTGCAGTATCATACAGAATGTGATTTCACTGCCCTGAAACTCCTGTGCTCTGCCCACTCATCCCTCCCTAAGGTGCTCTCAGTGGAAACCGCCTGGCTGCTGTGGGAAGAATGGGGGGCGGGGTTCTCTTGCCCAGCAGCCCCCAGCCCAGCCCTGCCCCAGCTCTGCCCGGGCATGGGAGGCGTGGAGCTGCCACCACCCTGTCTGTCCCACAGTGCTGGCCTACATGCAGCTGCTTGAGGACTACTCGGAGCCACAGCCCTCCATGTTCTACCAGACACCACAGAATGAGCACATCTACCAGCAGAAGAACAAGCTCCTCATGGAGGTTTACGGCTTCAACGACTCCTTCAGTGGGGGAGACTCCACCCAGGAGCTGGCCCCGCCGCCTGCCCTGCCCCCCAAGCAGCGGCAGCTGGTAAGTGGCACTCTCCCAGTCTCAGGTCCCTGTACTGCCCATGGTGACCAGAAAGTCCGATCCAGCAGGTTTCTAGGAACTAGAATGACCCTCCTTTGTGGCAGGTTTAACTCTCTTTTCGACCGTGGCGGGGGCTGTTGTGTGTTGAATGCTCCATCTCCCACGTGGGTGCTTTCGCCTCCTCCTGAGCCACTCCCCAGCGACCTGTCTCCATCCGCCATCCGCACCCTGAAGGTGGGGGCCTTTCTTTCCTGGAGCAGCCCCTTGCAGCTGGGACAGGCTTGCACTGAGAGGGTTTGCTTTCTCTGCTGACAGTCTCTTGTAGTTTTTCCTTCTTCTATGGCTCCAACATAGACCTCCCAGAAAGGAGGGACTCAATCAGAGCACAGGGCATGGTCTGTGCACGGCCATCTGTGGACTTGATTAACATAACGGGCCTCACTGTGTGGAGTGACTTACATCCCAGCCCTGGCGGGGATGGCCCAGTGAAAACAAGCTCCACTGAAGCAGGATGGCTTTAAACAGAGCCACTCTGTGTTTCAGACACGCACTCTTCCTCCTTTAAGAAACACCTCTTGTGTTGAGGGCTCCCATGTACGTAATGAAGCACAGGTCAGCACAGAAGGCAGGCTGTTCCACCGTGGGCAACCTGACAGCCTCTGGGAATCGCCGGGGCAGTGGGCAGGTGGGCACATTGGGGATACCTGTTGCGTGCCTCCAAACCTTTTTCTCTTTGCTACCAGTTGATGAACCCAGTAGGCCCTAGTCGGGCTTTAGGATCAGAGCCTCTTGCCAAGCCATGCTCCCCAGGAAGAGCACACACTCAAGGGAATCCTTGGCCTCCTCAGAGCTGCACGTGCTGCTGTGCTCATGTGCTGGGCAGTCTGGTAGCTTTCTAACGAGAGGGACTGGTGTGCGTCTGAGCCATCTTTTATCCATTGCAAGAGGATGTGGAGGTGCCATTCCAACTTTTCTGGGAGGCCTCTGCCAGCTGGAGGACAAACATCCCTAGGTCACTCCTTGTAGCACCTGGGGCTCAGCCTGGTGCCAGGAGTCCCTGAGCCTTCCTACACTTGGTCGGCGCAGACTGACCAAGCAAGCTGTTTTCCTCTCAAGAGCCACAGCCAGCCTCTTCAGAGGCAGCCCCGTCCAGGGGAGGAAAGGCTGAGCTCCTGTCACTCGTCAGCCATGTCACCCAGGCTGTGTTCAGGGTCTCAGTTCTTCACCTGCCCTGCCTGCCCCACAAACGTTGAATGGGAATCTAAATTGCTCCAAAAATGTTCCCAAAAGGGATCTCCACCATGGAAACCGAATGCCTATTCTGGGGACCCCTGGCCTGAAATGCTCGGTTAGAGCCGTTGCTGAGCCACATTTCGCTGAGAGTTGAAACATCCTCAGCCCCTCCTGCTGGCGTCCTTCGTGCCCCTGGTACGGTGGAGGCCACAGGCTTCTGAATGTTCGGAGACGGGTCCCTAGCGAGTATGTGGAGTCAGAATCCGTTCTGAGGGAGCGCTCTAGCCCGCACACCAAGCCAGTGGGGCAGGAGCGAGCTTAGCCCCAGCAGGCCTGTGAGGGACCCCCCTTGTTAAGCACCTTCCCAGGTAAGCACTGGAACTTTCTTAGGGTCTCGCACCATCCTCACCACAGCTCCCGGCATCCCCATTGTGAGTAAATCGAAGCTGAGAGAACCAAAGAGACTTATTCCAAGCCCACAGCTGGAAGTAGACCTGGGAACTAAACCTAACCCTAACTGAAGCCCAGGCACACCACGTGACAGGCCGCCCAGCTGCTGCCATGCCCCCCTCAAATGCAGATGTGGGGGAGCTGTCCACATTTTACAGACAAAAATGGTGATGATGATTACATCTGTTGGCCCGTGTGCGGCATGGTGGGCACGACTGCGAGCACTTTATACGCATCACCCCATTTAACCCCCGACAGCCGGCGTCATCCCCATCTCACAGATGAGGAGCCTGAGGCACGGAGATCTTTAAGTGATGCCCGAGGCCAAGTAGGTGATAAAGGCATGGTCAGACTCACACCCAGGTAGCCTGAGCCCCAGTCTGAACGCTGAGGAAGCGTGTGTGACCTTATGTGTCCCCTCCCCACAGAGGAAGGAGCAGCTCAGAGCCAGGAGTCCTCCCCAGTCTGTGTGGCTCCGGCCCACTTGTCCTTCTGCCCAACCTGCTTCCAGTGGACACGGTTTGCGTGATCTAGCATAGGGAAGTGGAGGAGGGCTTCCTTTCCTTCAGGTAGCCTGGGGCAGGTATTTTTCATCCCTGAACTGGGCCCAGAAGCCGTCCCTCTCCAGAATGTCCCTGAGCAAAGGTAGGTAGCAGCCTACACAGCCTTTCCCCACACGCCTGACTGTTCTCTGCTTCTCTCCCCCTTCCCCGCCTTCCCTCCTCCCTCTGTCCAGCAGGCCTCCTATGCTGCTTCTTCCTTCTCCTCTGTCTCCTACTGTGTCCAGCAAACTAAAGTGGCCTTCACCCTCGAGGACGGCAGTGCCACTCAGGGCCTCAGTGTGTCCGTCTCTAACTCCTTTCTCAGCCGGCACGGCAGCTTGCCCGTGCCCTCGGTGAGTCACTCCCTGCTGCTCTCAGAAACGCAGGAACAGGATCATTCCTGTGTGGCCTGTGCCTCACGGATCTGTGTTCTGCTGCCCTTCACGCACTCGCCCTTCTGCAGACCCCTGCACGTGGAGGGGAAGGGTATGAACGGCTGGTTCTCTGGGGTCTTAGGGACTGTGTGACATGTGTCCAGGTGGAGGGTGGGGACGTGGGGGACGTGAGTGGCCACATCTGGAGTGTCACCACTCTAGCATAAACTGGCAGAGACGTGGCCTTTTTATTCCAATCTCCCACTGGGCCTTGGAGCAGCCCGCTAAGTGTTCTATGTTTAAAAATGAATGTTCCTAACATAGAAATCCAGGCCAAGGGGAGCGGGCTTTGCCAGATGTGTGACAGTTTGAGTTTGAGGACTGTATCAGTTAGCTTCGGCTGCATAACAGACCACCCCAAAACTTAGCGGCTTAAGATGACAGTAACCATCTGTTGTTGCTTACGACACAGATTAGCAGGGTGGTTGTGCTGATCTCGCCCAGCATGGCTGATTCTGACTGGACTCGCTGACGTCTCTGGGACCTTAGCTGGGACAATTGGGCAGATTGGGTCTGTCCCGTTCCCCAGGCTAGCCTGTGCTTGTTCCCACGGCAGCCGGCAGGGCTCCAGGAAAACAAACAGAAGCATGCGAGGCCCCTAAAGGCCTAAGCTCAGAAGTGGCACGATGCCACTTGCATTGCAGTTGCTCAGTTAATTACAAGGCTAGCCCAGAGTCAGGGAACAGGGAAGTAGATGCCACCTGTTGCTGGGAGTTCCTGCTGAGTCTCATTGCACAGGGGCACAGGTCCAAGAAGGGGAATAAGTTGCAGCCATTTCTGTAAACAGTTTGCCACTAAAGCGTAGGGGGTACTAACACTTAAGACAGGGTCTTTCGCTGGAACCTGCATGTGTCCAACAACGTGAACAGCCCCCATTCTCCCTTTAGTCTGTTAAAATGAAACCGAGCAGCAGGAGAAAGGACTCTAGAACAGCTCCTGGTCCCACTCAGGGTCAGTCAGGCCTTGGGTCCTCCCGGGCCTCGGAGTCTTTCCTTTGGGATTGTCCTTTTCCTTGCCTCATATTTTGATCGTGAGGATTAAATAAGCCATGAAACGGCTGGGCACGAAGTAAGCTTAGAAAGTGTATTATTACCGTTCTTGTTCTTGTTACCATAGTAGTAAGAGTTCTGGATTCTAGTCTTGTTCTGCTTCTAATTTTAGCTGTAAGAGTTGGGCAAATGGCTTAACCTCTTTGGCGGTTTCTCCCTCTATAATTGATGAGTTTGAACTGGGTGACTTTCAAAGACTTATCCAAGCTCAGGTTCTGAGTTTGTTTTTGTCTGGTTTCCATCTATGTGCAGGGCTGGCAGTCCCATTCCCAAGGCCCTCCGTGCCCAGGGCCGAGATGGTCCTGTGGTTGAGAGGGCCTTGGAATGCGTTCTTCCCTTGGGTGCTGGGACCCGACTCTTCAGAGCCCTCAGCAACTCTGCTTGTGCCGGGAAGGCTGAACACCTCCCCCACCCCGCCCTGGCCACACAGACGCCCTTTCGTTTCCTCAGAAGGCACGTCTGGCAAGCTCCTTTCACAAATCTTGCAAAACTTGGCTTTCAGACAATTCTGGCTCTAGGCTGCATTTTTTTTCCCCCTCTAGTTTCTACAATATCCCTTTTGAGCAGTTAGGGGTTAGAGGACTATGAATGAACTGGACTGTTTGCTACAAAATTAAAGAAAATTTGTGGGCATTTTAATTAAGTTTGGGCATGAGTACATCATTGTTTTTATCCCTGGAACCTGCAGGAGTCTTAAGACATCTTGCATCTAAAATACTACATCCTCAGCGCCTACTCCACAAAGGAGGCCAAGGGATGGGTGCCCAAAGCTAATAAGGTGCTTTATTTGTCAGAAGGAAAATGCCTCAAGAACTGTTAGTAATGGCCTGAGTGTTTGGAACAGTTGACATCTGATGTGCTGAACCCCAGAGAAGTGATTTAATATGATGCGAACATGTTCTTCATGTATTCTGGGGTTAAATTCTGAGATGAGCCCCAGATGTAGGGCTTTGGATTACTGTTATTCCTGAATTTCTGTATTCCATTGTTCTTGGGCCTGGGTCATCGGTCCAGCATGGAATTGTGAAGGGTGCCTCTTGGGAACACAGCAATTGACAAATCTGAAGACACCTTACATGGCTCTTGGCACGGTAGGCTGTTACTTCTGCTAAAAGGTTCCAACCATCGAAAACCTCTTGCCAAAGGGATTTATAGAGGAATAAACCTGTGTTGGACAATTTAAATTGAGCTAGGTGCTGACAAGTATTCTTGTTCTCTCTTCTCATGATCCCAGGGATGGTTTTAATTCAACAAGCTCAGGACATTGGCTTGTATGGGTCAGGCTGCCCGAGGGATCCAGAGCATGGAGTTGGCCCCAAAAAGGGCTTGCGATTCAGGAGGCAGAATAAGACAAGCATAAAAGAGACTCATGTCCAGGCAAGATGTGAGCAATGGCATGAGAACGACAGTCAGTAGAAACCTCGCGGGAGGGGGAGCAAGGCCAAGGTCAGGCAGCACTTCATGGAGGTTGGTGGTGGGGCATGAGCTGTGGCTTGGAGGGCCATTAGGATTTCAGGGAAATGAGGAAAGCGAGTCAGAGATGTTCTGAGCAGAGGGGCTGCCTGATGGATGGAAGCGTCCCTGCCAGAAGGGCATTTGGGGCGTAATTGCTTGGGGAGTAAGGTCATGGAGGGTGTAACAGCAGCCAGCCTTCCTAGGCCTCCCCGGGACCTCCACATGGGGAAGAGCCAGTTGCCCCCACACGGCAGGCTCTGCCTTTACTGCACCCAGCTATTTTCTGAGCTTCTCCCTTGTCAGCTCAGCCCACGAGTTGGTCCCCAGGCAGATTCCTCCTGCTGTTCCTGGGCGTGCCCGCCCTCGTCTTCACAGGCTGCAACCGGTTTCTTGGCTCCCAATCCACAGCCACCCTCCCTTTCCTAACCTGCGCGTAATCCTAGGAGGCTCAAACACAAGCATCCGAACTCTGACACGTGGTCTTGGAGACATTTAGACCAGCTTGATAAAAGACAGGTGTTGGGGGCAATAAGTGAGTGAGTGAGGTAGGAAAGATGTGGAGAGAGAGGCCTGAGAGGCCAGCTACACTGTCCTGACTCTGTCCTGATCCTGCCGGATCTTGTGTGTGCCTGTCACGCAGGGGTGCTGCTGAGCATCTGAGTGATGGCCTCACCATCCCTCCTAGAAACAGCGATGGTGCCTGAGCTTTCTGGCCTCTTCCTGTCCCTGGACTCTCCCTCAGTGGCTTTCTGGGCGTGCTGCCTGCCGGTTCTCATGGCAGCCCTACCCAGGGGAGCTGCCCACCTCGGCCTCTGCTCCAGTCCTCCCCGCCACCACCTGATTCACACAGCCCTCTCCTGCAGATCCCTTCCCTGGCCCTCGTTTTCTCTGATTCTGAGCACTGGTGGTGCGAATCTTAAGGGTTTTGGATTTGGTCCATACTCACTTTGTCCTTGACCAAGAATCATGGAGACTCTCAGTAACCGTTCTCGTGGCCGTTGCCCTCCAGGTGTTACAGTGTCGGTTGGCATTAAAACAATCACCTTCCCCATCCCCCAAACTATTCTCTTTTATATTTTTTCTTTGCTAGCTGTAAGTGATGGATATTTACTGTCACCAAGAGCTCTGTTTGGATGTTAGGAATCTGTTGAAATTCTTTATCATCTTGGCTTCCAGAATTCTGGATAAGTAAAACTGCTAGCAGCACAAAGTTTTGAGTAGAAGTTATGTTGAAATGCTCATAATAACTCATTTGTTTTTAAAAAAATCTTCAGGGTAAGAAAGTCAAGTGTGTGTCATCGTGAGGACTTCAATTTTTTAAAAACGGTCTGTAGAGCAGCTGGTATCCCACTCTGGGCAAAAGAGTCATTTTCTGAGATGTTGGACCCAGGTTTTCATGGATCTGCACATATGCTCTTAACAGAAGGCTTGAGCTTCGTGCAGACACATGGTCTCTCCGCCACGGCCCAGCCGTCTCCTCGCTGCAGACCAGCCAGAGCCGTCCCGGGAGGTGTGGCAGGCTGTCTCCTCCCCCACCAACCTCCTGGCCACAAACTGCCCCTGAGGATTTACCCAGCAGCCATCATAGTCACCGTGGGCACACTGGTCTAAAGGTCAGACAGGAAAGAGGAGAGATGACGAGGAGAAGAGGAGAGAGGGGTGGGTAGGAAAGGGGGAGGGCCCATGTGGGGACTGGAGAACAGTCCTGTGGGCTCTCAGGCTGCCTGACACAACAAGGTGTCTGTCCACCTGTTGCAAACAGTAAATTCCTGCAGTCCTTGGCTTTGTCCTTGTTTCTCCCTGATGTCATCTTGTCTTTACTGGCTTCCTGTCCTGGTCAGGACAAACCTGTGGCCTTGGTACATGGCTTAGTGCCCAACAGGCAGGCGGCCGGTGCTCTGTGGCACTGAACAGGTGTGAAAATCTTGGTTCACTCAAAGGCAACAAGTGGGGACCAGGGAGGGAGGCCTCGAGCTCTTTCCCTCAGTCCCCGACATTTCAGGATCAGCCTGATGCTAACATGTCACATGACAGCCTCTCGTCCCCATGAAACAGATACATCGGTCCCAAGGTCTGGTCGAGCACCCATCATCTTCCACGTTTTCCTTCTCTGCTGACCCACGAGGCCCTGGCTGCTGATGTCTGGCTCAAGTTTTATAGGTAGTTCCTGTCTGCAGAGCCCTTAACATGGGTTGGCTCCTGCAGTGTGTTCTGCCCGTGCTATTCCGCCCTTCCTGAGTGACCCAGGGTGCTGTGGGCCAGTGCTGCCTCTGAAGTGTGAAGTCCAGACTAGGTCCCACTCTGACCCTGACACGGCCTTGTAGAAGAGGTGCATGCACACCAGCCCCCCTTCCAGGTTTCTGCAGCCCTAGGGAGAATGTAGAGCCACCCTTGGAGAAAGCCCTGGCTCTGGAG